CTGTCTGGACCCCGAGCCATCCCCGGGACCCTCGGCCCAGCAGCAGCTGCGGCCCCTTCGATGCCCCAGAGCCGGTGGCCGGTGGGTGAGACGCCCCTTCCCCCACCTCGCTGACCCGAGGGGTCCACGGGCCCGATCTCGGGTTTGGGTTCCTAGGGTCACCCCGAGGTCACCGTGTTAGTTACTAGAGCTCCCGGAGGCGTGCGCTGGGCCCGAGGGACGTGGGCTCATCTGAGATCGGGAGCCCGCAGCGCCCCACCCCCACCCCCAGGCTCTGGGGCTCCTGTAGGAGTCGCTGGAGGTCACCCGGGCTGGGGGGCACGGAGGACACTCTAATAAGGATTTTAAAAATTATAAATCAGGGTCGGGGTGCTGCGCGAGGTTCCATCCGTGCACCAAAAAAAATAAATAAATAAATATCTTTTTTAAAACCATAAAAGCTGCTGAGAGCCCGGAGCCGAGCTACCCTCTAGGGTAAATCGTCCACTCCAGTCACTGCGTGATGGGGTGGTGGATTGGGCCGGTCTGGCCCTGCTCGCTTACTTTGTAACTTTGAGACCTTCCCACACCCCCCACTCGCCCCGGGCACAGGCTTAGCCAGGACAGGTGCCAGTGGGAACCGGGCCTCACCTGGAGGGAAGCCGTGGTAAGGCCGGGCCTCTCTCCCCAGGTCCCTCTGGCCTGTGTGTCAGGAACCTGTCACCATCCTGCGCCTTCTCCAGGAGACGGAAGAGGGCCAGGCCCCGGCGCCCACCCAGGCTGCCCAGGCCCTAGGGACCTGCCGGGAGCCGGTGGCCCAGGGGACGTCAGGCCCTCTGAGCATGACCAGGAATTCCAAGGACAAGCAGACCCCAGGCAGCCGAAAGTGTGGAAGCGGGGAACCCCCCGGGGCACTGGCAGCCCTGACCCAGAGAAGGTCCCGGAAGCAGCCGAAGCCTCGCCAGGGAGCCAAGCCGGCGGACCCCGGGTTCAAGGGGGTGACTCTGAAGTTCCAGATTAAGGCGGACTCCAGCCTGCAGATCTCGCACACCTACAGGTAGGTGCGGGTGGGCACCGTGCCCTCAGCGTGGCAGGGTGGCAGGGCTCCCAGAGACACCCAAATCCAAGGATGCTCAAGCCTATCGTAGGACCCACATATATCCTCCCATAAACTTTATTTAATTTTTTTATTTTTATTTTTGGTACCGGGGATGAAACTTGGGACCTTGTGCTTGCAAGGCAGCCGGCAGAAACCCTGAGCTAAATCCCCAGCCCATCCTCCCGTAAACTTTAAATCATCTCTCTGTGATATAATTTCAAATACCCGGGCTCGGTAGTGCACAGCCCTTGTCCCAACACTGTGGAAGGCTGAGGTGGGAAGTTTGCGAGTTTGAGCCCAGCCTGGGCAAGTCTGTGACTTAGTGAGATTTTGTGTCCAGAAAAAAAAAATAAAAGAGCTGGGAATGGAGCTCAGTGCAAAGGCCCTGGGTCCAATCCCCGGTACAGAGGAAAGGAAAAAAATACAGTATATCAGCTATGGTGATAGTTGTTGGACCATTTTGCTTAGGAGTAATAACAAGTCTGGTAGGGGATTTATCTCAGGGGCACTGTGCCTGCCTCGCAAGCACAAGGTCCTGAGTTTCATCCTCGGTACCAAAAAAAAAAAAAATCCGTGTGTGTCAGTATGGATGCAAGATTTTCCCAGATATTTTCAGCCCGCAAGTGTGTTTTCTTGTGGTTTGGTTTTGTCTTGGGGTGCTGAGGATGGAGCCCAAGACATCCCCCAGTGAGTGTTAGGTGGGTACTGTATCCCTGAGCTACACTTGAAGCCCCCGCAGCTTGTGCTTTTATTTTTGTTTTGGTTTGGTTTTCTGAGACAGGGTTTCACTATGTAGTTCAGGCCAGCCGCCAACTCACGGGCGATTCTCCTGACTCAGCCTCCTGAGTACTGGGAAGACAGCCGTGCACCACTGTGCCCGGTGCTTCATCAACCAGTCACAGGCCTGGTGTCTTCTGCCAGTCAGGATAAGCCATACTTCCATTGGTTGCTTTTATTTGCCCCCAAAGTGATCTTAGCTAACATTTGTCAGCAATAAGAAGCCTTCGGGGATATGAGCCTTTTATTTATTTATTTACTTCATAGTACTGAGGACTAAACCAAGGGCCTTTGGGGCAACATCTCCAGCTGTTTTTTGTTTTTTAGTTTTTGGTTATAGGGGATCAAACTCAGGACCTAAGTTTGCGAGGCAGGCAGCGGTACCACTGAGCTAAGTCCCCAGCAGCTGTCCTTATTTTAAATTTTGAGACAGGGTCTCCATGAGTCACTAAATTATACAGGCTCGATTCAAACCAGGGATCCTCCTGTCTCAGCTTCCCAGAGTGCTAGGATCATGGTGCAAGCCACCACGGCCACATCTGGCTTACGTGAGCCTTTGAAAGCCTTGGGAAGCCCATCTTGCTGATGATGAAACTGAGGCCTAGAGGAGGAGGACAGCACCTGGCAAGATCACACATTGTGGCCGGGCGTGGTGGCGCACGCCTGTCATCGCAGCACTCAGGAGGCTGAGGCAGGAGGATCACTGTGAGTTCGAGACCAGCCTGGGCTATATAGTGAGTTCCAGGTCAATCTCAACTACATAGTGAGAAAATCACACATTGTGAATGTGCGAAACCTGGAATCCCAACCTGGCAAGTTGCCCCAGGCATTCTGCTCCTTACAAAAACTCTAATTATGCTAGGTGTGGTGACATGTGGCTGTCATTTCAGCGCTCTGGGAGGCTGAGGCAGGAGGGTCACAAGACTGAGCCCAGCCTAAAAAACACAGTGAAACCCTGTCTCAAAATACAAAATAAAAAGTGTGGAGGAGCCAGAGATTTAGCTCAGTGGCTCCTTGCCTGCCTCCCAAGTGCAAGATCCTGAGTTTGACCCCCAGTACCTGAAAAAAAAAAATAAAAAAAAAAAGGGTAGGGATGGAACTCAGTGCAAAGGCCCTGGGTTCAGTCCCTGGGCTGCTGGGTACCTTGGTAACTCATTTTCCTTTTGGAGCTCTGTCCGGGACAGGATGCAGACCCCCCAGGCTAACACCTTGTCTACCTCCAGCCTGGCCAGCAGCAGCCGCCACACTGAGGGAGCTGCCTCGAGCCTTGCCCGGACCACTGAGCCCAACTCCAGAGGCAGCGAGGCCCCGGGTGAGTGATTGCTCCAGGAAAGAGAGCTATAAATATTTGGGGGACTGATTTCCCATCTCCCAGTCTCTCCCTGCCCCGCTTCCCCATTTAGCCATCTCCCCCAAGCTGAGTCACCCCCACCCCCAGCTTCCTCCCGCGCAGGCTCTGCCATCTGTCTCTCTTCCCGTCTGTCCCTGCCACCGCCCAGGGCTGGGAACCTTCACAGAGACGCTCACAAAAATTCTCTCGAGCTCAGACTCTGGGCCTCTGACTCCTGCACTTTGTTGACCTCTGACCCCGCAGGGCCCCGGCGCTGTGCTTCCTGCAGGACCCAGAGGACACCCCTCTGGAGAGATGCTGAAGACGGGACCCCTCTCTGTAATGCCTGTGGTATCAGGTCCTCAGCACAGTGGAGGGAGTTGGGGCAGGGGACCCCAAATCAGTCCATCTGTGGTCAGTGTGGGGTGTGCAGGAAGTACACTCAGGAGGCTGAGGCAGGAGAATCACTTCGAGTTCCAGGCCAGCATGGGCTACATAGACTCTGTCTCAAAAGACTAAAACACCCCCCGCCACACATACAAAACTCCAGAAAACAAAACAACAAAAATACACCTCTTGGGAGAAATGGTTGTTTTGCGGCAGTTTCTGGGCCCCTGCTGCTTTTTGAATGATGGTTTCTTGTACCCCCACCTCAGGTACAAGAAATATGGTACCCGCTGCTACAGTTGCTGGCTAGTGCCCCGGAAGACTGTCCAGCCTAAGAAGCTGTGTGGCAGATGTGGGGTGTCCATGGGCCCCCTGGCAGGCCCGACTCAGGCCATGTAAGCTGTTCTTCATCCAGCTGAGCCAGTTCTGCCTCAGTTTCCCCAGGAAAAGAAGGGACAGAACTCCCAGGAGTGACAAGAGATCCAGCCTGCCTCCTCTCTGCTGCCTCCTATTCAAGAATCGCAGTGGGGAGATGCAGGCCTCAGCCCCAGAGCCCCTGGCTATGGAGTCACTGGCCCTGTTCTGTCCCTTTCCCAATCAGGCTTGGCTGGGACCCAAATAAAGGAAGTTTTCAGGACCGGTCCGTGTTATTTGCTCTGGGTTCCCTGTCACGGTCTTGGGAAGGAGGGAAAAAGATATCTTTTTTTCCCCGTGTGTAGCATTTGGCATTGAACCCAGGCCTTTGCACTGACCTCCATTCCCGGCCCTTGGTTATTTTTTTTAAATTTTGAGTTAGGGTCTCACTAAGTCACTGAGTTGGCCAGGCTGGGCTTGCGTTTCTGCCTCAGCCTCCCAGAGTGCTGGGATCTCAGATGTGTGCTACCACACCTGGCTAGAGAAGCTTCTCGATGCTGCACATTGAACACACGAAGGTTTCTGACAGTGTCTGCAAACACATGGCTGTTTTTCTCCATTTAGCCCACGTTTATTGAGTAGCTGCTATGTGCCAGACCCCAGTGGGTACACTCAGTGGTGAAGAGAAAGAACCAAGACCCAAGTGTGGTGGCAAAAATCTGTAATCCAGCACCTTGAGCAGCTGAGGCAGGAGAGTTGCAAGTTTGAGCCCAGCCTAGGCAAATTATCAACTGAGACCTTGTCTCAAAAAATAAAAAAGAAACCACAAATGCAAAGACCCTGTGGCGGGCAGGATTTTGTGGGCTCCCATGACATCTGGGGTGTACCTCAGGTAGAGCACTTGCAAGGTATTCTAGGGGCTGGTTTCAACCCCAGCTGGGGGTGGGGGGTTTCCTGCCGTTTCCTGTTTCATCTTTGCCCATTGCACACAGCAGCCAGTGGGGGTTGGAGCTGCCTGGCAGACTTCTTTCTCAGAGACCCAGCTCTGCTTTGGGGGGAGGAGGCCCAGCTGTTCCTTCCTTCTGCTCTTGGGGGAGGGGTGGCCATGCCCTGCTCCTCTGATCTAAATCGTGTGTACCCAGGGGAAAGGCAAGTGGGGTAAACTGAGGCACTGTGGAGGACACAGGCTCCCGAAGGCATGCAGGGCGGGGCCGGGGTATGCCCTTCACCAGGAGGGACATCCGGAGAGCTGACGTCACAGCCGCCTGGGACCCTGCCTGTCCGAGCAGACCAGCCTGGCTTTCCTGGTCACCAGGCCCAGAAAGGCACCTGAGCTTCTGCTGCTCTGACCTCAGGTCAGGGGGCAGCACCGGGTGGAAGAGAGGAGGATGAGGAGGAGGAGCAGGGCGCCGCACCCCTGCCCAAGGGTCCAGTGACAGCAGGCGAGCTCCAGGTCACAGGGCACACGTGGCTTGGAAAGTGCCTGCCACACAGTGGACTCAACAATAAAAAATTTTTTTGAATGAATAATCCTCAAGGTGGGGAATTTAACCACATCCCTCCGCATTGCAAAAACTGAAAAGAAAAAAAAA